TATTTTCAGGGATACAAGTTCTATGGGAAAAAGGAAAATTTTAGAAGACTGATGCCTTTTACGAGGCCATCAATAAATATGAGAAAATAAAAAGGGACTCAGACCAGACCCCTGAGGGACGCCATGCATAATCTTTTGATTATACTGAAATATATTCATTGAAATACACATACTGATATCTGCTTGCTAGGCATAATTTGAACCATTCAAGAATAATGTCTCTAATTCCATAACAGCTTAGCTTTACTGAGATCTAAGAATATGCCAACAGTGAATAAATTTTATCAAAACAATGTAGCATGTGGCGGAGGGACGGTGGGTGTATGGGCGGGAGGGGGGGGAGGAGGAGGAGGAAGAGGAAATCACGTAGGGGAGGTAGAAGAGAAATAGAAAATCCTTCCTTTGTCTATCCCAATTTAACGCGGGGAGGAGGGGAGGGGAGGGGGAAGGCACTGAGGGGAGGTAGAAGGGAAACAGGAAATCCATCCTCAGTCTGTCCCAATTTAACGCGGGGGGGAGGGGAGGGGAGGGGGAAGGCACTGAGGGGAGGTAGAAGGGAAACAGGAAATCCACCCTCAGTCTGTACCAGTTTAACGCGAAAGATTGCCAACCATTTTGAAGGCCTTGTCACCCGCTACACTTTTATCGATGACACATCACTCCAGGAAAGGTACTGTTCCCTCCCTTTTAATCTACCGTTTACAATCTGTTTCACGACTTTCCACACGCATGATTACTCATCAAAATATATATATGATAAGGAAGGTAACAAACCCTGGTTAACACTAACTCAAAATCCTTTCCTATCTAATCTAAAGACAAAGATTTACCTATGGGACTTAACCCTGGTAAGAGGTGCCTAGTGAGCGCGGGTGTCAAGACGTCAGTGCCATGCCCACTGTCATAAAAGTTTTATATATTGTTTTTAAACATAGATGGCTCTACAAGTGCTTAGTCACCAAGGAGTCAGCTGTTAGTCTTACCTATCTCATCTGTTTACTCACTTCTTTCATTTTTTTTTTAAGATTCACTTCTATTATATTACTGTCTTTGATGTCATTAATATTTTAATAACAATTAGATACTCATAATATCAATAAGAATGATAACAATGTCAATATTAGCAGTATTAGAAAGAAAACCGCATTTTCCCGCCAATTCAAGGAATGGGGAAATCAGGGTCGGTCACCTGGGCCAGTTGATAGACTCCTTGCTGCTGAGCACACGTGGAGCCATCTGTATGTAACAACACTCACTAAAATCCAAAGGGGACCCTCTGACATTGGGTTAAGGTGCCATATTTTACGGCATTGACAGCGAGGCAGAGTCAGAGAGACTCGTCCCTCTCTCCATATATATATAGCTATATAGATGAGTAGATACATAGACAGACAGTGTGTATGGACTTATATATATATGTGTGTGTGTGTGTGTGTGTGTGTGTGTGTGTGTGTGTGTGTGTGTGTGTGTGTGTGTGTGTGTGTGTGTGTGTGTGTGTGTGTACATACACGATTCTTTGTGTAACTCTTTTGTCTTCTGCACACGTATCCCTTAGACTTCCCACTTAGATTAAATATTTTCTACTTATTCTATAAAAAAAAAATCCTAAAGCATAGAATGACAATACCCCCCCCCCCCAAAAAAAAAAAATAATAATAAAAAAAAAAAATGAATAAATACAAAAAATAAATAAAATAATTAATAATAGTACACTGTACTTTTTTTTTTATAAAACAAGCAGACAGACAGATGAACGAAAAAATCTCTAATATCTAATCACAAGCTTATCAAACTCTAATGAAAATTAGATTCTAATGATTCTAATATAATTACTCACTGATGCCACGTAATAGCTGTCAGGTTTATCTTCACCGTTGACAAGAACGACCCAAGATAATCCATGGAGGACATCTTTACCGCTGAAAAAAAAAAAAAAATACGGATAGGTTTATGCGATCAATGTTTTTTTTTTTTTTTATTATTCATTATTTTCATTTTGTTTGTTTATTGATTAATACCGGCGACTTATATCAAGGAAAACAACAGCTCTTCTTTTTTTTTTTTTAGATATGTCAGTGTATATTATCACGATTAATAAACAATAAAGTTTGATATTGTTTGATCATCGTTCAGAATATTTTTTCATTAATTGCTTGATAGCAACGTCACGTATCAACACTAAATTTACAGTTCTTAACCTTATGCTATTTTGTTATTTTTTAACTTTAATGAACAATGACATGAAGTGAGATCAACTCTGTTAACAATAACATGAATGAACAATAATAACCCAACCCACAGAAGAACACCAATAACATTAAATGAACACTAAGAACCCAACCCACAGAAGAACACCAACAACATTAAACGAACACTAAGAACCCAACCCACAGAAGAACACCAACAACATTAAACGAACACTAAGAACCCAACCCACAGAAGAACACCAATAACATTAAATGAACACTAAGAACCCAACCCACAGAAGAACACCAACAACATTAAACGAACACTAAGAACCCAACCCACAGAAGAACACCAACAACATTAAACGAACACTAAGAACCCAACCCACAGAAGAACACCAATAACATTAAACGAACACTAGGAACCCAACCCACAGAAGAACACCAACAACATTAAATGAACACTAAGAACCCAACCCACAGAAGAACACCAACAACATTAAACGAACACTAAGAACCCAACCCACAGAAGAACACCAACAACATTAAACGAACACTAAGAACCCAACCCACAGAAGAACACCAATAACATTAAACGAACACTAGGAACCCAACCCACAGAAGAACACCAACAACATTAAATGAACACTGATAAATACCCAACTTCCTGTTCATCTTCTTCGGTCTGGTGACGTCAGGGCCCACGACGCCGGCGTGAGGGAAGCGCCCCTCCAGCTCCTGACGCAGACGAAGGTAATCCTCGGCTGTCTGGGTCGGAGGAATACTCACCGAAAACTTGTGGTTGTATGCATTCGGTTCTGAGGGGGAGGTAGGGGGGGGAGAAGTGGTGATGATGGTGGTGGTGAGGGTGGTGGTGGTGAGGGTGGTGGTGGTGGTGAGGGTGGTGGTGGTGAGGAGGGTGAGGATGGTGGTGGTGAGGGTGGTGGTGGTGAGGGTGGTGGTGGTGGTGAAGGTGGTGGTGTTGAGGACATGAAGATAGTGGTGTGTATGTGACGTGTTTGGTGGTGAGAGTGGTGGTGGTGAGGATGGCGGTGGTGGTGATGAGGATGGTGGTGGTGTTGAGAACATAAAGATGGTGGTGTGTATGTGACGTGTTTGGTGGTGAGAGTGGTGGTGGTGAGGATGGCGGTGGTGGTGATGAGGATGGTGGTGGTGTTGAGGACATGAAGATGGTGGTGTGTATGTGACGTGTTTGGTGGTGAGGGTGGTGGTGGTGATGAGGACATGAAGATGGTGGTGTGTATGTGACGTGTTTGGTGGTGAGAGTGGTGGTGGTGAGGGTGGTGGTAGTGATGAGGATGGTGGTGGTGTGGATGGGGGTGGGGAAGGTGGTGATGAGGACATGAAGATGGTGGTGTGTATGTGACGTATTTGGTGGTGAATGTGGTGGTGCTGAGGATGGTGGTGATAGTGAGGACATGGAGATGGTGGTGTGTATGTGACGTATTTGGTGGTGAATGTGGTGGTGCTGAGGATGGTGGTGATAGTGAGGACATGGAGATGGTGGTGTGTATGTGACGTATTTGGTGGTGAATGTGGTGGTGCTGAGGATGATGGTGATGGTGAGGACATGAAGATGGTGGTGTGTATGTGACGTATTTGGTGGTGAATGTGGTGGTGCTGAGGATGGTGGTGATGGTGAGGACATGAAGATGGTGGTGTGTATGTGACGTATTTGGTGGTGAATGTGGTGGTGCTGAGGATGGTGGTGATGGTGAGGACATGGAGATGGTGGTGTGTATGTGACGTATTTGGTGGTGAATGTGGTGGTGCTGAGGATGGTGGTGATGGTGAGGACATGAAGATGGTGGTGTGTATGTGACGTATTTGGTGGTGAGGAGGGTGGTGGTGGTGAGGATGGGGGTGGTGAAGGTGGTGGTAGTGATGAGGGTAGTGGTGATGAGGACATGAAAATTTTGGTGGGTATATGACGTATTTGGTGGTGAAGGTGGTGATAGGTGGATTGGTAAAGCTGGTGTTGGTGATGAGGATGGTGGTGATGAGGATGGTGGTGATGAGGATGGTGGTGATGGGGATGGTGGTGATGAGGATGGTGGTGATGGGGATGGTGGTGATGAGGATGGTGGTGATGGGGATGGTGGTGATGAGGATGGTGGTGATGAGGATGGTGGTGATGGGGATGGTGGTGATGAGGATGGTGGTGATGGGGATGGTGGTGATGAGGATGGTGGTGATGGGGATGGTGGTGATGGGGATGGTGGTGATGAGGATGGTGGTGATGGGGATGGTGGTGATGAGGATGGTGGTGATGAGGATGGTGGTGATGGGGATGGTGGTGATGAGGATGGTGGTGATGAGGATGGTGGTGATGAGGATGGTGGTGATGGGGATGGTGGTGATGAGGATGGTGGTGATGGGGATGGTGGTGATGAGGATGGTGGTGATGGGGATGGTGGTGATGAGGATGGTGGTGATGAGGATGGCGGTGATGAGGATGGTGGTGATGGGGATGGTGGTGATGAGGATGGTGGTGATGGGGATGGTGGTGATGAGGATGGTGGTGATGGGGATGGTGTTGATGAGGATGGTGGTGATGGGGATGGTGTTGATGAGGATGGTGGTGATGGGGATGGTGTTGATGAGGATGGTGGTGATGGGGATGGTGGTGATGAGGATGGTGGTGATGAGGATGGTGGTGATTATGATAGCTGTAGTTCTAGACTTCGGTTCCGAGAAGATGAAGCGTTGCGTAATATTATGCAGATATAATTTCTTGCCTCTTAATTAAAATACTAATATATGGCCTACTCTGAAAAAATCTAGGAAAATGTA